GCAGTCATTGAAGGCATCACTGTGTTTTCCAGCAGGGCAGTACCAGGCAATCTCTGCCACACCATCCATCAAATAGCGAGACTTGGTGCTTCCTGGGGAGCTTCTGTGGAAGAAGGTGTCGTGACGGTTGTTGATCAAAGTGTTCATCAGCTGAGATTTAGACACTGACAAAGAACCAAGGCGGAAAAATGACACCAAGCGTGTTTCAGCTTTGTAGACTGGAACACTCTTCATGGTGACAATGTCTGAATCAGACTGAGTTACCTTCCAGGTTTTTGTTATTTCTCTGAAAGTCCACAGAGGAAACTGAATCTCCTCCGTGACTGGGTCAGGAACAAGCAAAGGTAAGGCATACTGACACTGAAAGAGCTTTGTAATCATCATCTGTTTCAGGAAGCTGTCTGAACAGTGAAATACTGCCATCTGAACATCCATTGGATGCACACGATCCTTCTCTTTCTTATTTATGTCTGCAGTGGTGTTCAAGAAATCCTCTAGATAACTGTCATCATCTATCTCAGTGTCGTCAGAGATTGATAACTCACGATTAAAGATAATAGATGATGTATATTCATTTACAGTGGGGTTATAGAAATCCTCTAGATATCTTTCACCTGAGATAGATGGTATATAGAAGTTGTCATCTATCTCAGTGTCGTCAGCTACTGACATAGATGACTTCATGTCGTCAGATGACTCAGGACTGTCTGGTCTTACAGAAATATATCTGGCCCTGTAGTCCAACATTATCAGCCTATGGAGAAAAGTGTGAGCTAGATCTTTCTCAGATGTTACATGGTCCGTCTGTTTCCCAGGTGGACGTATTTGAAGAAAATTTGCTGGTGACAACTTCTGTTCAACTTTGTCTTGAAGATGAAGTCTGTCAAGCAGTGTCTGTATTAACAAATAATAAAGAGGTACTACATGTAATAAATTACATTGTCATATGGCAGAACAGAGTAAATACTCATTTCGATCTTTTGAATAAAGGTTTATTCTCCTACCTTCTTGTTTCCACTTATGTAATCATCTGTGGTTTCTGCAGGATTGCATGAACCAGATATGCATTATACACAGTGCATGTTGCTGCAAATCCTTTCAAAGTTATGAAGTCAGCAGTTTATATATTTTTGCTTTTTGTGTTATTGTATAATGAAAAATTGTACCGTTGTCATTGGTTTTGGATGATTCATAAGATTTATCTCCTGGTTTTCTCTTCTGGTCATCAATGTGTTCACCCACTGGACCACTCTGAGAAGTAAAAACATTACCCTGAAATTTAGCTTATCAGGTTAATACCATTGACATATATAACAACAGAATTAAAAGGTCTTGCTTTGTACTTTATTGAGAAGACAGTAAGCCATTTTAGAATGGATTTGACTGATATTTATATATATTACACATTTCTAGTCTTATTGATTACTCAGAGTAGCTCATCAACTACATCAAGACCTGTCCTGATTTTCAATAATGACTTGATATAACATATGTGATTGCAAACCTAAAATACTTTTTGCTGTCAAGGGACAGTTTAAGCTGTTATTATAATCACGTGATCTGAGGGATTGCTAAACTTCTGCATTCCTGCTCCTTATTTTCAGACTTCATAAATGCAAGAGTGTGTGAAGGAAATCTTTCAAACCCTTACATGCTGTTCATATTTGAACCATAACTGACTTGAACCATCACATGGTGGTTTTTGTCAATTTTGACTCAGGCCAAGAATTCCCCCGTCATACATTTCTATACAGAATTTTGAACTACAGACTTATTTAGAGTGTATAAATAGACAATCTAGCACTCAAAAATGGATGATTAATCCTTGATAACATTTCAAGAAGCAATGCTTGAGTAATGTTTGTTTTTAGAGAAACAAACAAGTTATTAAACGTGACATGTTTTACCTCAGACAAACAGCCATAATAATTTTT